GAACCCCAAGCTTAGCAAACATCATCTCATTCGTTCTAGACCATTTGACTACTTCTGGTATAACTCTAGTGGGATTGTGCATTGACTTCAAACGGGCAGATTTTTTCTCCCTTCTTGCTGGAGCATGTTTATATCTCAAATCTCTTTTGTACCAAAATTCAATTTTCTTTCTAAATGAGACTTTTGGATCATGACTCTCACCTTTTTGAAGATGTTTAAAAGTGGTAAACAGGTATTCACAAGCTCGAGGAGTAAATCTTCCATTCTTCTCATTAACACATGTCAATGCGATAGCTTCGGGCACACTTTTTCGTAGGAAGAACCTCCAATAGGTAAACCACCAATGGTATGTAAATCTCAAAGAGATATTGATAGTTCTCCGGCTGATGTAAGTAAGGTATTTGTTGTGGGACACCAAGCTTCAAGAAATGCTTGCAAGATGTTTGAATTTCGATCATATGTAAATAAAAAAACATAGACGACATCTTAAATTCTTGTTGTCTCCAAAACCTGTTGACTTCTTCTAAGTATGTCTTCAGCCCATTCCCAATACCCTGAGATATGATAATATTCACCGTCAATTCTCAAAGTATCTCCCCAGCGTATCTCCCTTTGAATCATACACTGTCCTAGGCAAGGAAGGGTACTTGCAATATTAAGTTTTCATTAGTAAGGAGTCTAAAGAGACCACATTTTAGTTGACTTTTGGTTGTGCTCGGAAGTCCAATCTACCATATTGAGGAAATTCTGCAAAAGTGGCTACAAATTTGCGTATCGACCAACTAGTGGAGTGTAAGTCAACAACTTGGTTATAACCCCGCCATTCTTAGCATCAATTATGAGATACTTGCGCTTGGAGGATGGAGATATATAGTCTCTGAAGTGAACCATTTTCTTCAAAACTGCATAATCGAAAGAAGATTGGTAAATATTAAGTCGGCAACAATTAACAAAAGAAGGAGAAAATTCTAGTCCTTTGTGCTTTAAGCAAATTTCTATATGCGATTAAGAATTTGTCCTTCTTTATGTTGTCATGTGTTTAATCCTCTATGTGTTGATATGGATTTGATACATCAATATGGTGATGTGGATTTGTCCGTCTATATGGTGATGTAGATTTGTGCGCCTATATGGTGATGTGGGTTATACGTCTATATGGTGATATGAATTTGTCATCTATGTATTGTAATGTATATGTCCTTCTATATGTTGTGAGAGATTTGTCCTTCTATATGTTGTCGTGGATCCTTCTGTGGGATGTCATGAAGTTGTCCGTCAACTTGGCACTCGAGGACTTTTCTTTTCTTTTGCCTACAAAGAAAAAAGGAAAGAAAGACGACAGAAAACATTACGCAAGAAGGAGAAAAAATTTAAAAAAATTTACCCGTCAAATATACACTTAAGCAGGCTTGCGAACTACAACTGATGTCAAAGTTTATTACCGATGTGGGATTCATTGTATTTGTGGTAATTATTAGAATCCAAAAAGAAGTAGGTATCCTAAATAATCGGCAAGGAAGGCCATGGCCAGTGACCGGCTTCTTCTATGTCCAAGCCATATTGAGTGTCTATTGATTTACCGGCTTGGAATCAAAGCATTGTCTAAGGCCAAGTAAATTGCCGAAGGTACTCTTGGGCACTGCATTGCTAAACTTTCACTTAACATGTGCTGAATGTAGTATCCAACTTTGCCAAAGTCAAAAGAACAGGAGAAAGCAATCATAAATCTCACGTGAATTTTCATTGAGAATCTCAAAGTTATATTTTGATTCTTCTCAATTTGTATACTAGAGCTTCTTTTTACGTGAAGACCAACTGGATGGTTGCAAAAAATGGGTAAAATAAAATAAAGATATTTGTTACATAAATAATTCAAGCCTAGTCTTCAAAAGTTTAAAGATCTTGACGAGTCTTGAAGTAAGGGGTATTTATAGGCATATAAATTTTATCGGAGTTAAATCCAATAAAATAACTTGGATCATATTTTAAATTCAAGATATTCTAGTCCAGCTAAAATATCATGGGCTAATATAATTGAATTAATTATATATGTCCAATACATATGAGTTAAATAAATATGTCTTAATCCATTAGGCTAGCCCATTTAGTTGGGGTACAGTTGATGAGCCCACTTCATTAAGCCCAAGATACCATTTTCTTAGTGGTCCAGTTTGGTGCCACGTGTCAAATGACGTGGCACGTCAAGTCAAACGGAAGGGCCAATAGAATCATGTCACGTGTCAAAATGACAAGGCATGCCAAGTCAAATTAAAAGGGCAATAAATGACATGTTCTAGCCAATCAAATGCGGCCTTGTCACGCTTCAATCTGATTGATCGAAAAGAATTTGTTCTCATCACAACTCTTCCCTCCCACAACTATAAATAGGGATTTTCAAACCTCATAAAAGACACCAGAATTTATAACAAGAAGCAAAAGAGAGCTCGTGGATCAAACGCCACAAATTTCTCTACAAGTTTCAAACTTCAAGCAATCAAGTTCAATTTCAAGAAATTAAGTTCAAGCTCAAAAACGAAGAACAAATCAAGGTTCAAGGAGTACGAGTTCAAATCAAAGTTCGTGCTAGTTAAATTCAATATCATCATTCGTAGCAACAAATATAGATTCAAGGTCAATCTCAAAGGCCATTGAATTTATTTACTATTGAAAAGAAGAATCAGAAGAATCATAAAGATTGTAACACTCAAATCACTTGAAATAAAATACTACGACTGTTGCAATATTTTCGGTCTCGATTATTTTCTTGACGCAAATTTATTATCTATAGCAACCTCCACGAGTGGTAGGAACCCATAATTTAGAGATTATAGAATCTCTTAGCATATATATATATATATATGTGAGAGAGAGAGAGTGATTGATTTTAGAGAACCACAATATTAGAGAACCACAAAAGCTCTTTTGAAATAATTTTATAGGATCAATCTTGTTTTTCTCCAGCACAAACAATTGATAGTTTTACATGAGCACCAAGAACACATGATTTTGTTCTTTGATCACCATTAACCACGACTCCGAGTGGGATATACAAGCTCTTAAACACTATATTTTTTCAAAAACTTATCAAGTGCAAGATATCTCTTGATTGATTCTCTTGCTTGAGTGCATATTTGCTTCTTTTTGTTGAATCTTCAAATCCTTCTTAAATTTATACTTGCTTTCTTGCTCAGTATTCATTGAGTATTTTCATATGTCGCATCAGTTATCATTGGAGAGACTTCCATTTGAAATTATCTTCCAACTTGTTTCTTCCGAGTTCCAACAATAGTTGCCTTGATCATCTTCTAGCTGATTAAGATTTATTTCATATTCAGCTCTTCAGATTTACTAGTCTCTGAGAATTTCTTTCATCAATCTTGATGAGTATTGCTTTGTCAATGTTACAAGATTGATCTTCAGTGGTCAAAATATTTTCCTATAGAACTTTTCTCAATTTTCAAATCTTCCTCGATTGAGTGGTTTCTCTTTGATTCTACGTCATTTCTTTATCGTCAAGGTATGATAATTCTTATACTATTATTTGTTAAGTACATAATATCTGCAATATAATATATATATATATATATATATATATATATATATATAGTCTGTAAATCAAATTTCCCAAAACAACATTCGATTTGAACCTGAATATATTGCTTTGTCAGTTTGTCTTTCTTCCTTTTCAGCGTACAATATGTTATAATTAGATGAATCAGACAATTCTTTTTGTTATCTTAAAGAACAAAATATGTTGTTATCTTGTTTAATTGTCTTGTTTTCTTCTCCAAACTCATTTACACTTTTTTTTTGGACAATGAAACCAAACACGTAGAGGAAAGCTAGCGTCATCTCTGTCAGCTCCGGCGTAGGAGCTCCATGAAACCAAACCCCTCCCTTTTGACTGTTAGGGAAAGCTCCAAATCTCAGCCATCGATCATTTTATTTTCTCGCATACATAAAAGACACGTACCTTTAAGTTTTGGGGAAGGAATTTACGGGCTATATTTTTGGCTAAAGATCAAATTTGACCGCAACAGATCTGGGTATCAAGAAGTTCAAGCAAATGACTCTTGTTTGTTTAGCAAAAGTTAAAAAATTTAATAACCAACTCAAATATTTCTAGGAAAAACAAAATATTGAAATAAAACTAATCATTTGCAAAAAATGCTCAAACAAACGCAAAATTTTACCAACTTTGTTTTTGAAAAATTTCAAACAAACGGGTGAATGTGAGGTTTGAAGTCTTTTGAAAAGATTCAGAAAAGTTGTAGGGCACTTGTTAAGTTTTTTTCCAAACAATTTTTTTGGTTGCATATTTTCGAAATACTCACAAAATACTTATTCATAATTTTAAAGAAAAATCTTTATTCTGCAGAAATATTCTTTAATTCCTAAAAATTTCTAAGAATCTTTACAGAAATATCATTTAGCTCAGACAAAGTATAAGGCGTGTGCACTTATTTCAAGATGGTTGGATCTCTAATTCTCGGTTGATTTACTAAAATGGTGGGAGCTTCAATTCTTCATTTATTTGCTAACAAAAAAATAGGGATAACACGAGCAAGAAACAAATGGAATAATTTTGTTATCTTTTTATATATATATCAGGATAGTGTTTTAGCCATTGTCTTCTTTAATAGGCTTCCAAATCTATGAAACAAGGTTTCTTCTCCTTCTGATTTTGTCGCTTACTGAAGGTTTATCTGTTGATGGCTCTTTCTTCACTAATTTCGTGGAGCTCCATTGCCGTAGCTTATCGTAGAGATGAGACTCGGTTATTTTTTTATTTTGTTTTGAAGGGTTAAACTTAACAAGTGAATATCAAAATGATACACTTTTTTTATATATTAAGTACGATATTCATTAGGGACCAAAATAAAACAACCCCAATACATTAACAACCATTTTGATCATTTTCTCCGAGTATCGACGTCAACAAAGACTGGACTTTTCAGCAGCAGATATACAAGTATATCGTCGTTAACAAATATTGCTACTTTCAACAAATAATTGAAGTTAACGTTAACCCCTTCGAACAAAGTCCAAAAAGACATACAAAGGCAAACTTTAGACGGTCCAATGTCTTCCTCTTTCCTCGACTCTTCTATTCTATTTCTTCTACCTCTTGTGCCTAACATTCTTTGAAATAAGAATCCCCATACCCACTTTCAAGATTTGCTTTTACAACATTCTCAGAATCTCAACAAAAAATTAAATAACAAAAAATTAAAGGAAAAGACCAAGAAATCCATAGCCCTATCAACGCCCCCTTTCACGTTAGCACACCTCTCCTACTTCTCCTCCACCCCCTTTCATCTCTCTCTGTATAATTCACAAAAATAAAAAAAATAAAAAAAAATCCTATATAGTGACCCTTGACCTTAAAAGGCTTCAATCTTGCCCTTTTTCTTCTTCTTCTTGAATCAGTGTTTATTAGAAAATAGAAACAATGAAGAATAGACATACTGTTAAAGTATCTGTAAAATGGATTCCCATTTTCTCTATTGCCTTCTTCTTCATTGGAATGCTATTTTCTAACAGGTAACTAATTTAGATTTTGGAGGTTTGAGTTATGAAAAGTTTTGATTTTTATTTGATGGATCTATTTGTTTTGGTAAAGATTGTGGTCACCAACTGAATCCAGCAGTCAGCTCATAGCTCAGCATAGAAGGGACCAAGAACTTCAAGTTGTTTCTGAGGACTGTAATTCAACCAAAAAGGTTTCTGTTGATCTAAATCTAACCTGTTCTTCTGGTTTTACTATGAGGAGTTGATTTCTGTATATTGAAGTTCATTGGGGATTTTAGCTGCTTTTAAGTTAAAATCTGTCTTGTGTTGTAAATTCTTGAGTTCTTGATTTTGGAGTTGGTTAGGAGTTCACCAATCTGTCTGTTTTTTTCTGGAGTTTTGCTTCGTGGATGTTCAATCTAATTGTGGATTTTAGCTTCTATTAAGTTCAATCTATCTGTTTCTGCAAAAAAATTGACTTCTTGTTTGAAGCTAATTCTGGATTTTAGCATTTGCTGAGTTCTTTCTGTTTTTGCAAAAATTATAAGTTCTTGCTTTCTGGGTATTGAAGCTAATTGTGGATATAAGCTTCAATCTGTCTGTTTTCTTGATTTCTGGGTGTTGAAGCTACTTGTTGGTATTAGTTTCTGCAAGTTCAATCAGTCTGTTTTCTATTCCTCCCCCCCCCCCCCCCCCCCCTTTATTTCTGGTTACTGAAGCAAATTGTGGATTTTGGCTTCTGCAGATTGCAACCTTTTTAATTTCTAAACTCTTTTGAGTTGTTGCTCTCCGAGTGTTGAAGCTAATCGTAGATTTTAGCTTCTGCTAAGTGCAATCTTGCTGTTTGTGATTTCTTTCTTTCTTGATATCTGAGTATTGAAGCTGATTGTGGAGTTCTGTTTCTGTTGAATTCAATCAATCTGCTTTGTTTTTTTTCCAATGAGTTCTTGATTATGATGATTGAAGCTAATTGTGGAATTAGCTTCTTTGAAGTTCAATCAATCTGTTATGTGGTTTTCATAAGTTCTGTCTTTATGCCTATTGAAGTTGATGGATGGAGTTTTAGCTTTGTTAGGATCAATGTGTCTTGTTGTACTTTTTCATGAGTTCTTGCTTTCTGATAGTCGAAGCTTATTTTGGCTTTTAGCTTGTGGCCTTACTTGACAAACTTATGCTGAATTGTCATAATTTGTTGGCATGCTAGAAACAAGGACAAGATAAGGATGTAATGCAAGAGGTGTACAAAACCCATGAAGCAATTCAGTGAGTTCCCTAAGCCATCATACTTTTGTTTTTTCCTTACTTTCTATTTTTGGTACTAATGGTTGTAAGCCTGTTTTGGGAGGTCTGCTTAGATCATTGGACAAATCAATTGCTATGCTTCAGATGGAGTTGGCGGCCACTAGGAGTACACAGGAGATAAAGGCGGCTGATCAGTCTTCCAATTCTTCTCGTTCTCAGGATGGACCTCCGAGAAAGAAGGTTTTTGTGGTAATTGGAATTAATACCGCTTTTAGCAGTCGGAAGAGGCGTGATTCCGTTAGAGAAACTTGGATGCCTCAAGGGGACAAGCTTCTCAAATTGGAGAAAGAGAAGGGAATTGTAGTCCGGTTCATGATTGGTCACAGGTATATGCTGTTACTTCGTTTCCTTAATGACATATGGATTCTAAATCCTACATTTTGCAATAATCTTGAGCTACTGTGTCAGTAGTTCTTAAGTTTCTGCATAATTTGGGTTTCCTAAACGGGAAACCAGAGAAAGAAGTTTAATCTTAATTGTGGATGCTTAAAAGAATAAACTAAATTGGATTGAACAGGCTATCATATAGTCATGTCTTTGCCTTTTTGGTTTTTTTCAAATAGAAGAAACATGTTTTACAATAAAATAGTTCAGATGATTAATGCTGGTTGTTATTTAATGGACAAAATAAAGTTTTAACCTTCAGAGAGAAATCGTAGGTGCTTTGAAGATGTAGCTAATTCTGAACAGAGAATTAAGTCGGACTGTATATTTTTATTTCACTTTTGGTGTAAAGAGGCCTTAGTAGAAGATGTAGATTCACTTGTAGACATCATTGGGTCATTGTAACTATTACAGGGCTAGGTTTTTGGGTTTTTGCTTTAGGGATCCTGTATCTTTTGTTTCTCTTAGCACAGTCTTTGTGCTAAGGGCTACTCTCTCTTTACTTATATATAATCTGTTACCTTCTTAAAAAAAAATAGTAATAAAGTTTTAACCTTCAAGTTCTTTTTGGTGACAAGAATTTAACGGCATAACTACTGTATTCTTTGCAAGTGGTTGATTTGAAATGCTCTGTATTATTGAGACTAAATAATAAGGAAGTTCTCTCTCCATTTGACTTCTGGAGATATCAAACAGAGAACGAGCAGTTTTGAATTCCTACAAAGAGCACTGTCTAGTACCTTTACTTTCAGTATGGGTGTCTTGTCAACTTAGTGTTAGTACAACAACAACAACATATTCAGTGTAATCCCATATAGTGGGGTATGGGGAGGGTAATGTGTATGCAAACCTTACTCCTACCCTTGTGGAGGTAGAGAGTCTGTTTCCAATAAACCCTCGACTCAAGGAAAGTATAAGTACAACAATAACGAAAAAGGAATACAGTAATGTAGAAGCCATGAAAAGAAGCAGTAACAACGGCAAAATAATAAGATGACCGAAGAAAAAGAAACAGCACGTAGTACTAGAAAACTAAGAATAAGAAAATGCGAGACTACGTACTAATACTACTAGTATGAAAAAGAAGAATGCTCGACTATCCACTATCCTCCTACCCTAATTTTCGACCTCCACCTTCCTATCAAGGGTTATGTCCTAGGTAAGCTGTATATGCGACATGTCCTGCCTAATTACTTCTCCTCAATACTTTTTCGGCTTACCTCTACTTCTCCTTACATCCACCATAGCCAACCTCTCACACCTTCCCACTGGGGCATCTGGGCCTCTCCTTTTCACATGCCTGAACCATCTCAGCATCGCTTCCCGCATCTTGTTCACCATGTCCCGAATATCTTCATTCCTGATCATATCTCTCCTAGTATGCCCACACATCCATCTGAGCATCCTCATTTCTGCCACTTTCATCTTCTAGAAATGAGAGTTCTTGACTAGCCAACACTCCGCCTCATATTACATAGTCGGTCTAACAACCACTCTTTATAACTTACCTTTTAACTCCCGGAGGCACCTTCTTATCACATAGGACTGTCACCTTAGTGTTAGTCTGTTGGTGATTTGCAGAATGTGTTTAAATTGCGCTAATTCGATTTTTCTTTTTGTCCCATTTTAAATTTCGAAATATTTAGTCCTCATTTTCAGTATTTCTCCTTTTGTTTTTATTCTTTGTTCGAATGTAGTTAATTGGAACCATAGAGAATACTGCAGGTAATGTGAAAGCAGTTCATGCTGTTGGCTTCCGTTAGGGTTACCCCAAGTTCTATAGGGATGTTTGAAAATATCCTTCAACGAGTCCATGCAGGAGTCCTACTTCCCAAAGATGCCAAAAAGAGTGGATAACTTATATAGATGAAAAGGTGGATATTAAGTTAAAGCCAAGGAATTATATTCTCAACTCAAGCTCTCTACTACACCTGTCTCCCCCTGGAATCCAAATATAGGAAAGAGACACAAAAAGATGCTCCTATCCTATACTTCCAGCTTACTCGGTTCGCAGAAGAAAACTAAGAAGGCCTTTCCCTGCATCATGATGCAGCAGAAGCATTCTCTAGATACCTTCTTGCTTTGGGAACTACAAAATTTTGATATGCTTCAAACAAAAGGCCAGATAATGCAAATGATCTTTTTTTATCGGATGTTCTAAAGGAGGGGAAATGATCTCCTATGATAAAAAAAAATGACTGCAAAGATTATCAGTGTTTTATTTACATATCTCTTTTAATGTCAACCTATAGTAATCTCTTAGGAGAATAATCATATAACTAAAATAACATTTATAATGGACTACATAAGCAAATTCTCCCGATGGACTAACAATGCAAATAATACAAGTTATATGTTGTATAAACACCCACTAAGGGTCGTGGTGGATAGATGATAGGATCCCTCCACCCTTAAATTAGAGTCTGAGTTCAAGGCTTTTGGGAATGGAAAAGATCTTGTTAGGGAACTCCGGATTAGTCGGGGTCCCGATGCAAGTACAGACACCGAATAAGAAACCATATGGTATAAACAAAATAGATAGCACCCTTTGCTATAAAATAGGTCGTGCAGCGAAGAAACCACCCCTAACTCAATCAATTTGGAACTTGGTGAAGAAAATCCCTTAAATTGTGGTATGCTGATTGAGAGAGAAAGCAGAGCACTGGAAGGAGAGGCAACTCGAGTAATGGTAGGAGTGAACGAGTCAACAATCAAGGGTTATCCATTTGTTTCCATCAGCCGTAAAGGTGAATTCAAGTGGAATGACTGGAATCTTAAGTAAATCGTCCGGTCCAACACTTTTGGTTTCAAACTCCTTTTCCTCACAAGAAAACACACATAACATTTACAATCTCAAATTTATTCCTGACCTTTTATTTTTATTCCAACAATCTTAAGATAGAGCCTCGAATATTTCAAGCATATCCCTTTAGTTTGTCCTTTATTTTATTTTCAAGAGTAAATATCGTCTGTCTAATTCATGAAAATAAAATAAAGGATAAACAAAAGGGATAGAACCTTGTGAAACCCTAAAATTCTTAAACTAACCTCTCCTTTCTCTCTTCTCTTTTCCTCTTATACACAAAAGTTTTGGACCCTTCACAGTCTATATTTGCATCATTTTGGTGCAAGTTTTACCGCTCTCCACTTTCATCTTGTGAGTATGATAGGATGAAAGTGGATAGAGGTAAAACTTGCACCAAAATGGTGCGACCTAGACTGTGAAGGGTTCAAAACTTGTGTAGAATGGGAGAGTGGTACTTTAAGAATTTTAGATTCTATAGGTTCTAGAAAAGTGAATTTGAAAGTGTTAGTCAGATCAACTTAGATTCGGCCAACGGTATTAATTCATGAAATAACTAAAAGGATATGTTTGGAATATTCTAGGCTCAATCTTAGGACCGTTGGGTTAAAGGTGTAGAGTGTGTTTGTTGTGTAAGTGTGACCGTTGGATCAATAACTAGGTAATGCATTAAAAACCTGTAATATTCTTTTATGGTCTTAGATTGATCTGCGCGCTTTGGTGGACCAGCAATCTCTGTTTTTGGGAGCCTACCAAAGTCCCTCTTAGATAGAATATCCACTGTTCAGCTTTCTGTGAAAACATCTTTAGGGGAACCTATCAGCTGAAAATTTGTCTTAAAGCTGTTTTCCACACAAAGGAGGCCATCTGGTTTGTGGCCTAATTTACCAAATACACAGTAGTTGAATTTACTTATTCCTTCATCCACTGTTTCCAAGTTTTTGTACCCAGGGTAAAGTTACCCGTAAAGGTATAGTGAACTTGCTATGCAGAAAATTGGCTATACAAAATGGATGTCAAGCTGTTTTGAACACAAAGCTGGCCATCTGGTTTGACTGTTTGAGGCATTAATATACCAATTTGCGCACTAGTTGATTCCGCTTTCCTCCACTGCTTTCAAGTTTTCAAGCACTGCATGCATGCAGTAATCTTTAAAGGCTTTTGTCAACTTGCTTGGTGAAAAGAATTAAAGAACCTTTTCATAGGCTTAGCAAGTTAGATACACAATTTGCTAGGAGAAAAAGTATTAAAGTTTTTAGTTGCAACAAATTAAATTCATGAAATTGACTCTAGTGCTGAACTCAAACGGTTTGTTTTCTGCTTGTTACCTTTCTAATGTTGAAAAGAGGTAAAGAAACGAAATTGATTTAAATGTATATGCAATTTTTGGTGAGAGAACAATTCAAACCAAGAGGGATGATGCTTAGCAAGAGAGACTATCTTTATGCTGCCACATGTTAGGAGGTAAAGGTGTCATTTGGAATGCAGTGCATTTTGAGAAATAAGTGCCTTTAGCATGAAAAAGTACTTCTTCTGCAGCTGTTTGGTAGATATTTAAGAGTACTTTTGTTTGTAGTTATTTGGGCAACAAAACACTTTTTGCCGAAGTTCAGTTTGGGAGCTCCTGAAACTACTTCTGTGCGTAAAATTTACGCCCTATCTCGACAGGTTCAATAGTTTAAAACAAATGAGATTAATTTTCTAAAGTATTGATATAAGTATTATGGGAAATTACCTCACCAAACCCTAAATGATGTGTCTAAAATTTTCAGAAGTAAAACTACAGCGAAACACATTTTAGCTAATGAAGGCATGATTTCATGCTGTTTAAATTTGGAGGATATGATATGAACTTCTGTTCATTTTAATGTTAGCTAAAAGTACTTGCTATGAGATATTACCACCAACAAGCCTATACTAGCTAGATTTAGGATTAAAGAGGATCTAGATGTTCCATTTCGGATATTTTGGCTTAGACCCGTGCAATGGTATTTGTTATCCGTATGATTTTTATTCGATCCAGCTAATCTTTCATCACCTGTAGGATCCTTGTAAATTCTACATATTTGCATTTTCTTTGCTCTCCCTCTTTCTAGCTGTTTCTTTTCTTTTTTCCGTACTAATATTGGTAATAGTCATTACTCATAAATGTCATTGAACATGGGTGAAAATGCAAATTAATGTTACTTAACTGACAAATATCTGGATTCGTTATCCAGTGCAACATCTAACAGCATACTGGATCGCGCTATTGATTCTGAAGAAGCTCAACATAAAGACTTTCTCCGGCTGGTAGGGATATATTCAGAACAGTTTTGCTTTTGTTGTTAAATCTGGAAATCTTACAGATTTTGGGTCCCAATCTGCATGATGTTGTAGGAGCATGTTGAAGGATATCACGAGCTCTCTGCCAAAACTAAGATTTTCTTTTCTACCGCTGTTGCAAAATGGGATGCCGACTTCTATGTCAAGGTTGATGATGACGTCCATGTCAATTTGGGTACGCACTTGATATGTTTTCTATATATTTTTATAGTTCGACAACTAATCCTCTTCGTTCAGCTTGTATTTTAATGACACAAATGATTTTACAGGAATGCTAGCTGCAACTCTAGCCCGTCATCGGTCAAAGCCCAGAATTTATATTGGGTGTATGAAATCTGGACCTGTTCTTGCTCAAAAGTAAGTGTGAAGCTTCACTAGCGTATGCCAATTGATCCTTTCAGCTCGCATTGTAGTTTCAACAGTAGTAACATTTTAGTTGCGTGAACTGAACTTTAATGTTGTTTTCTAGGACTGTAAAGTACCACGAGCCTGAGTACTGGAAATTTGGAGAAGAAGGAAACAAATACTTCCGACATGCAACTGGTCAGATCTATGCAATCTCCAAGGACTTGGCCACATACATATCAATCAATCAGTAAGTTCTGATAAAGCTTGAATTTGTAATTGTCCATCGAAGTCACTGAAGTTCTAATGAATGGTAAAAGACTTGAATTTCTAGAAATGTCCATGTAAATTAGCACGTACACCGGATTATTAATGCTAAAATTTATCCGTCTCCATCATACTAAATTCTCCTATATTCAATCACTATCATATAGCTGACCCCAACGTGTCTAGAATTAAGACATTATTTGTTGTATCAGTATCATATTTTGTGAGATGCTCTAGTAAGTATAAGGGATTTAAACTCTTAAATCAGGCCCATATTGCACAAGTATGCCAATGAAGACGTGTCATTAGGGGCTTGGTTTATCGGTCTTGAAGTTGAGCACATCGATGAACGTACTATGTGCTGTGGAACTCCACCAGGTATTTTCTCTTCAGTACTGTTATCATATTTATTGCTGGAGCAAGATTTCTTTCAAATTTCATGGCCTTGAGAAGTACGGAATACAAAAAGAAGTTTTGGAGTAGCTTGTTTAGTGCATATTCAGAATAGTTTCTAGTAAGATAGCATAAACTGGTCTTCTCAGTAAGATTACATGCCCGATAATGATCTTTTTATCAGTTGCCATTCCTTCATTCCATGCCTAAAATCTTTAATTTATGTAGACTGCTGGATGTTCTTCATCTTCGAATATTTTTTATAAAATGTAGTTCTAAGTTTTGTTGGCTATAGCCAGGCATTCTAGTTGAGGGTGTAATACAAATTAGAAAAGGAGGCAATTTATATTGTTTAGCGCTTGAGGACTGGTAAAGTTGTTGTCATGTGACCATGAGGTCACGGGTTCGAGCTATGGAAACAGCCTCTTGCAGAAATGCAGGGGGGTAAGGCTGCGTACATTGACCCCTGTGGTCTAGCCCTTCCCCGGACCCCACGCATAGTGGGAGCTTAGTGCACCGGGCTGCCCTTTTAGATATTTGTCAGGAGTTGTATTACCCTATGCACCTGATGATTAAATTCACCACTATGGTGCTAACTTGCAGATTGTGACTGGAAAGCAGAGGCAGGTAATGTATGTGTTGCCTCCTTTGACTGGAGCTGCAGCGGAATTTGTAAATCAGTAGAAAAGTTAAAATACGTCCATGAAAAGTGCGGTGAAGGGGAAGAAGCTCTTTGGAATGCTCTCTTCTAATTTCCCTTAAACAAATAGAGGGTTGAGGATTCTTGCTGAGACATAGCTGTCGGACAATTTCCATCTGGCTGGCTGTTTTTGATTGCCAAAATTTTCCACACAGAACTTGATGAGTAGAGCAATTTGTATAATATGAAACTGTTAGATTGAGAGCATGTTTGTTGTAGATTATGTCTCTGTCTAGAATCTAGATGATGATTTAAATTTCGGATTTCGAAGGACAGTGGAAATCCCTTTGTAATTCTTGTCAGCATACCTTTGGTATGTACTCACATTTTTTTAATGCTGTGGAGGTGATGTAATTTTGGTGGTGGTGAGGTTCATTGTTGTTTCTTGTTTGGTGCTTATTCTAGCTAGTTTTTGAGTAGAAGGCCTCTCCATTTTGAAGATTGACAATCTAGTGTTATTTTCTTCTTCTTTGAATTATTAGTATTCTGGATTCCAGATTATTTTTAGTTGCAATGAAATTTTGAGGAAGGAAAGACATTTTTTTCACACAATAGTTCTTCCTCTCTGCAGACCTGTTCATCCCCCTTTTGATTTTTCTTTTATGAATGAATTCTGATGAGTGACTGAGTTGCTTTCTAATCTTTGGCTTTATTTTACAGCAATGTAATGGAACTTGTTTTGTTTTTATATTTTGTGCGTTGTATCAAATTAAACTATATGCTCCACCGCATATGTAGACCCCGTCAATTTCTGAGCATTAGTTGGGCCTCTTATTTGCGTAAACCTAGAACAAAATTCATATGGACTACTAGGGTATCTAATCTTGTTGTCTGTATTTCGTGGATTTGGTCACTTTGACCGCGTGTAAAGTATGAGTTCAATTGATTAATAATATAAATAATAATATGTAAAAATTTATATTATGAACACATAAATAATAAAAATTTAAAGATTGCACTCACCAAATTAAAATTATAGATATTTTGGGATGTGTGCAGACAAATCAGAACTATCACCATGCGTCCAGCAAAGACAACAAAACCAGCTTTTTACTCTATAAAACTAGGCAATTTGACAAAGCAGATAGGATTATTTATTTATTTCTTCCACCATTTTCAAATTTGAACTACTCATAATGTTTTCTACTTTTCTACCATGCATGTCTCTTCCCTTAGAATTATCACTCGGCCTCTAATAATTTATACTAGCATGCATGGCTTTACGCAACGTTGCTTCAGTGTCAAGTTTCCAATATATAATTTTGATCAAAATTACTGTATATGACCAAGCTTCTATCCACCCTTGTGGACCTTAGGTTATACGACTATATAGTCTTTGGTTTCTAATTAATTATCTGAAAGACATCGACTCCATTAATCGGAACTGGAGGTTTGATTTTATGATATGATATTTTAAAATTAATTAAAATAAAATTGTGTACATATAATGACGAGCTTGTACTTGAATCACTTAGTTTTTGAATATTTTCTTACGATTGTATATATTTCAATTATGAGAGACTTTGCTATTATTCGTCAGCTTGGACGCTTTAAACTATGTTGATATATACCAAATAATCATGATTAAGGTGAGTGTGTATTTGTCTTTTCCTTGAAATTAAGGGAGCATCATCTCAAAATCCATGAACTGATATTGCCGAATTCAACTCAAATAATTTGAGCAATTACACATTTCCACTTAGATTTGAAATGTATTAGCCGTTAATGCATGGAGTAAATCCTTTTTCTTGTAAGGTTCTCGAATCTCGATCAATAAAACATGATAATACGATATGTCCTTAATTTATGAAAATCAATTAATTTACATGCTAATAAATAAAGGAAGAAAACTAAAGCAGGTCCACATGGACTTTCACGTGCTCTCGGGCATGCCAACAACAAAAAAAACGTTGTATGTCGGCCCAAAGGTTAGCATTTCCAACTATGTTGCACGTGAATTCCCTTCTTTTTTTGTTTGTCTGAAGCATATTACCTAATCTAATTTTATACCTCAAATATAGTTCAAAATTAGTGGGTAACTATAGTTATATATAATTTAAATTTTATAATTATTAATTTTTAAAATACTAATGTGAATTAAATAAAGATTGATCAGAATAACTTTTTTAAACTATTTATTAATAGAAACGAAAAGAATTAGTAAGTGTTTTCAGTTTTCACATTGTTTTGGCTTCTTCATTTTTTTTCCCCAGCATTGTTTGTTAATCTTCGACCTCATAAGAATACCAAAATACACAAAAGTATACAATTTTTTTCTTGAAAATGTTTTGACTCATCAAGTGTTAAATAAATAGAGCTAGCTAGTTTATGATTTATAAATAATAAAAAGAATTATATTAGATTTTTGTTCAATTGAAATTCTTGTAAATTCGATTATAGGACACGGTAATTTGGAAGTTTGGTGAGTATTAATTTTTTATGTGAGGAGGAGACAATTTCTGTGTCTTTCGAAAGTTATTCGTTCTAGCAAATCTACAACTTTACTTTTGACCCTATTCCTTTGTTTAAATTTTGGCGTCTATGGGTATTGGTTTGGGGAAGGGACGAAGGATTTGCAAATTGCAACCATTATATTCTTCAATTATTACCCCAATTAAAGGCAGTAATTTGTGTATACACACACATATATTGATTATTGAATTTTATTATTACTATGAGGAAAAGTTTCAGTGTAGCAGCTAAAAAGGTTTAAAACTTTTCAATGACATTTTAGTATTTTTTTTAAAAATCTCGTTGTCTCCTATCCTGCTTCCAACGACATTGGAGTGCCTCTGATTGCTGAAGTTATGACTATTCAACAGTGAACAGACTATGGTGTTAGTCTTGTATAACCGTATAAAATTTGGTGCATACTCTCTTTGTCACATCAGGTCAGATCCAAAGCCAAGGTTGCCTAAGAATCAGACAGTTTTTTGGAAAGTTCCCGATGTTAGTTGAATAGGATCTTTGTTGCTATAGATTGAGATATAGCATAGGATACTTAATTGCTACAAATTTTGGGTATTTTTGTGAGACTTGACTCTAGAGTCCAACGAACGGGTGATTGTATATAGTTACAATTGGTAAAATAAAATTTTCAGTTTTTAACCAAAAAGATGTTAGTTTAGTAGTATGGTATGTACTACTGTGTATTATTGCATTTGTATTTTCTTTTATTTGTAGAAAGACAATTTCTACTAGTGAGTCAATTATCTGTCTAGATCCAAGAAGTCTCTCCGAAAATTATCCTACTTTCTCTTTCTGTGATATATATATGAGGCCTGTAACTTGTATGGTTAATTGATTGTTTATTTAGTTTAATAATATTTTATATTTCGTTTTAAAAAAGAATTAGCGGCAAAAATCTTGTTTAGTGATAAAATTAGATAATTTATAGCTAATTCCAAATTTTTTACGTGATGTATGTCTCCAAGGGAGATGGCCAATATTGAATTATGTGTTCAACTTTCAGACAGGCCACACTTGACTATTAGGGAGAACCAATTGAAGTTGAGAAATGGGACTTTTCTCAAACTTTGAGCAATTTCCATCAATTAATGAGCTTAAAGTAGAAATTTTAACAAAAAGTTTAGTATATCTTGTTTTAAAAAAAAAAGGTCTCATTTACTTCACCAGTTACCACTAGCCGTGTGTAGCATTTGGATATACATTGAGAATTTATTAGCAGCTTGCTTAGTTAAAGACAAACAACGATACCAGATTAATTAATCCAAACAAATTAAGAGCAGTGTTACTATCGAAAGTCCTAAAAATTTAAAATAAAATAAAAGAAAACTTTTAGTTCCAGGCAAGTTATATCTGACAAGGCCTCTTTTAACCTTTAATTTCTACCAATATATACTATTATTTTGTTGTACAAGAGAATCCAATAAAAGTAGTAGTACTATTTTTGCTTTTGGAAGAGAAAACTTGTCTTTTCTTTGATAATTAGAAAACAACAATTTTGAATAAATGATGGAGAGAGTGGGTGGGTTTCATCTTTCATGTGAAAGATAAAATTTTGAATAAATGTATATGTACAAGATTCCAAAGCATGCAGTCCCTTTTCAATGCAGTCACCAACTTTCAAAACCCTCACTTAGACCAATCTTTTATCTTTTAAGTAAAGAGAAATTAAAGTTCCTTCCCTCATTCAAAACTCTTTAATATGGAAATTAAAGAGCAGCACAAGAATCTTAATTAAAGGGATATATAATTCCAGCATAAGAATATTTATTAAACACAAACACAAACTTCTTAGCTTGTCAAAGATGGGAATTTCTCTCCCTTGTTTTTAACAGTAAAATGTGATCTATATATTCTTTCTAAACAAGAAGATCATCAAGCTAAGTACAGTGTTTGTTTTACATTTCTCTCCATAATTTCCTAAAGTTAATAACACAATGATGCAACAAGCACATATCAGTTTGACCAAACTGAGTTACCATTTTACCAGCAGTACTTATGTACTGTCATTACCATTTACCGCATGTTCTAAAAAAGGCTTGACTTTGCTAATTTGACTAGATGTTAAATCCTTATCTTTGGTTGGTGGGGTCATTATTGTGAGTTGTACTTGTCACCCTTGTAATTGCAAGGATGAACTCAAATCTCTGTTAATTATAATTGTTATAAAATGTAATTAATTCATTGAGAATTCTTGCTTTAGTTGGTGTGTGTGTATGAAGTTGTGTTTTCATTTTTATTTTTTTTCGTTTGAGGTGTAAAAAGCTGAATATTTGTATTAGGAAAAGGTTTTCAAGATTTTCTAGAAAGCAACTTTTCATATATATCAGAATTTGCATTCCTTTTTATTTGTATAACTACTAGATTAAAAATACGAATATTATTTACCAAAATAACAGATTACTTATACCACAAAGTTTAGTGACAATTTAACTCTTGAAAGGCTTTTTGGCATGGTATAAAAGTACTTCAAAATCTAATTCTAAATTATCCGTGTTACCAAACACGTTCTTCTCTACCCTACCATATCAATGATTAATGTTTAAAATTCAAAATTTTGAGAAAGAGAAGATAAAAATGCTAATCTTAGATCTAATTCTTTGTTATTGATGACACTAAATAAAAAATTAAAAAGAAGACAAAAAATCATTTACAAAAAAATCTAAAAACTTTTAAAAGAGTAATAACTCACTAGACGGTAGTTGGTTGGAGTAAATTGTTGTGAGTGGGTAAATTGATCTGCAGACTTGTCAATGCAACCCCACCTGATCTCCTCTTCCATAAACCACCATCCTCCGGCGGCGGTTTAACCTTCTTCACCACCGGCAACGGCGGATCCAATTCACTAAGATTAATCACTTCAATAATTTTACCTTTATCATTAATAGTAGATTTTCTGGAACCGCCCACAGTAACAGTAACACTTGTCTTCAGTTGTCTATTATTACCAGCAGTAAAATTCTTGCGGGAGAACAATTTCTTCAGTTTGGGATTAAGTGGGGCGGATAAGGCTGTAGTAGTAGTTGGAAACCCAATGACTTTGTTGTTTCTCTTGACTTGGCCCATACAGCTAACTTTTGGGGAAGAAGGTTCGTTCAGATTATCTCCAGAAGAAGAAGAAGAAGGATTCGGTAACTTTACATCTTTAATGGAAAGTTTACAAAGGATTGGGAAAAAGAAACTGCCGCTACTATTGCGAATATGGTGATAAAGCTGCTGTTGTTGATGTTGATGTTTATTTCTCATACTGTAGATTTCTTCTGAATTTTCTTGATAGGTGAGGAGGGAAAAGGGGAGAAGTTTTGAGTGAAAAAGGTAGGGAATGTGAAGAACAAGAGGAGATTGCTCAATTCTGCATTTTTATACTATTATTATTTGTTTTTTTTCTTTCTTCCAAATTTGTTTCATTTATGGGTCAAAGGTCTGGACAGACTCAGGTCTCGAAGTAATAATCCTTTCTTTTGTTACTTTTCATTAAAAGTAGGAGGAGTTAGATTAATTCTTTTTTAGATGAAAACTTATTACTCCTATGATCTAGGATAATAGCCCTATGAATATGCTAAGTTACTTCGTTTTTCCTTAAAGAAATTAATATTAATTTTGCTTGCTATGAGTAATTAACTGCAATAACATAATATGGTAATGAAATATAAGCTTTTCTCATAGGAATCAATGGAATTAGAAGTCATATATTGTTGCTAGTATCATGTCAGCATTGTAAGTCCATTTCATACAAATATATAACAAAATAAAACCAACAAAAGGACAGGATGCAGCATTTAAATAAATAAAAAAACTATTATATTATTAGGTATGTTATTACACTGTTCTATTGGAAATTGAGTAAAAAATTGGGGCCACTGCTTTGTTGTTTCCACCATGTTTGCATGCATAGAAGCTACTTATGTTTTTCCTACAAGTACTAAAGTTAAAAGTAAAAGCTACTCCTATTTAACAAACCTTTTGAGTAAACGAGAAAAAGTAATCTTTTTTATGTGTATAAAGTTTACAAGTAAAAATGATTTTGTCTCCTTGTTTGGATTTAAAGTACCACTTTTGATTAAATTGACACTGAGAAATACACTTTTTTGTCCAGGACTTCAATTAAATTTACTCCCTTAAAAAATTATATTGTACAAATATCGTAAAAGTAATTTTTTATCTAAACTATTGAATCCCAACATAAGATAATTTTTTAATATAGTGATAAAAGAAGTTCAAAATTTATTTTTGATCGTAGTTTCAAATTCTATTTAGTATGACATTCTAGTATTTCTTTAAATACCTTTTTATGTATTCTAGTTATCTTTTTATATATTCCTTTGTATGTATTCACTACTGCATTTGACAATTTTTCAACTTGACTAGAGACAAGCAGTAAATTGAGACAACTAATTATACTAAAACCAAAATATCTTTTTCTTCTAATAAAACTAAAATAGTTATTGCAATAGCATATAGCTTTTATGTTCAATTTAACTAAGTCGATAAATAAAATACAAAGCAACAATTAGGGATGGGCATAGTTTGAGCAAATCCAAAATTCAAACCGAAATTAGAATTGTTTGAATTTTGGATTTAATTTTTAAAAAATTTGGATAATGAATCTGGTACTTCAGAATTTTTGATATGCGAAAATCTAAATTTTTTATATTTTATATTTAGTTCATTATTCATATGCCATTAGTAAGAAGTCCAATATCATAACCATTAGACATAATCTCATATATTCAATACTAATTACTAAGTTACTATATTCAATACTAACCATTAGACATAATCTCATATATTCAATACTAATTACTAAGTTACTATATTCAATACTAACCATTAGACATAATCTCATATATTCAATACTAATTACTAAGTTACTATATTCAATACTAACCATTAGACATAATCTCATATATTCAATACTAATTACTAAGTTACTATATTCAATACTAACCATTAGACATAATCTCATATATTCAATACTAATTACTAAGTTACTATATTCAATACTAACCATTAGACATAATCTCATATATTCAATACTAATTACTAAGTTACTATCAGAAAACGTTCTATTTGAACATGATTTTACTATTGCTAATTCTTATCGGCCTTACTAATGGCTTTGTTATATTTCCTTGATGTTGATTTCATTACTTGAATACTTTATTTGGATGATTGCGGTGAAAATGAAGAACTTTTTAGACAGTTTAACATGAATATTTCGTTTGGATGTTCATTATCATAGAAAGAAGAAACATCTCAATTTATAAGCTCAAAACCAAAAATTCAAAATATTCAAACCGATTAATTCGAATCCAAACTTAAAAAATTACAATCTAGTTTCTTTGGAATGTCATTTCTTTAATCCGAAAATCAAAAATCCAAACCGAAATTTTCATATCCAATCCGAATTATCCGAATGCCCGCCCTAGCAACAATATTAAATTTTATCAAAAAAATTCATACTTAGTGCACGATATTCTTTTGGCGTTACTTTTGGTTTGATTTTGTTTCGAACTGAACGATTAAATTCTTTCTTGTAAAGTGACATTCAAATAGTTAAAGATTATACAATTCACCGTAGAAACTTAGCTTCCAACCAAGATTATAAGAAAAGGGAAAATGAAAAAGAGAGAACAAATATAAGCGTGCATGAATATATGTGTACAAATGGTAGGAAAAGACTTATTTTGAAAGTAAAGAGATCATCTAGATTAATAGGAATAAGTGAAGAAAATCATGTCAAATAATTTTAGTTGGCAGGCGTTCCCATTAATATCAATAAGTTTTTCAAATATGGACCATTCTAGTTACTTTTGAAGAATAAAATGTCAAACGTGAAATTGTACAAATGTATAATTACACTCATGGCATATATGAATAAATGCTAATGCAAAAAAAAAAAATGCAAATGATTATTTTTCGGTTTTGTCCTGTCCAGCCGCCACCTCTTTGACAGTTCCCTCAATATTGTAATTTTAGTTTTGACCCTCATAATATCCGATTAAATAAAAACTAATGAAAGTAATATAGGCACCAGGTTAACTTTCTCTTAATACAAAAGAGCGTAGTCTCATGGTTTAACCACTAAAATCTATTAAAATGTTAAAGCATTATTAATGGAGAAACCAAAGCACATTATTTTACTAAAATCTATTAAAATGTTCTTCACATAATTAAAATTAGAACTTGTCAATAATTAATAGAGACCAAAAACACAATTTTTCCTTTCCTTTCTTTGAGTTCCGAAAGGATCGTTTAGTCAGCAGACTAGTTATACCCAAATTAAAATACAGTGACTATAATATAGTGATCCATAATTTCTATTAAAATCTGGATTTTTAAAACCCGTAACATGTGTTTGATTTTAGATTTGGAAAAAGATTTATTCCCAAAAGAACCATAGGCCTATACTACATTATTCTATCCAAATTAATATTGATTTATTATCATATGTGATTAAAATAATTAATTTAATGATTGCTAAAAATTAAAATGATTTAATATTGTCAGTTTTATTCTCTCAAATAAGAAATACAAATAATTCAAAGAGGAAACTTAAAATGAGAAACTGTAAATAGAGTAAATGAATAAATAAGTTTTTCATTAAGCATGAAAAATCTAATCCAAATATTTTATGGTGCTTTTGAAGACAATAATACAGACATTACTAAAAACAAATGAGAGATAACAAATAAGAGATAATTAAACAAAACAAGTACTTAATAAGTGATGATGTCATTTACATGAACTTTGTTTTACAGGAATTACCCATAACTAAAATGGGAATTTATTAATATGGAAATGAAATATGACTACCGAACGACCAATTATTAGCATAATTTAATACAACGATTATTTACAGTATCACAGTTAGCAAATATATTGCGGCTGAAAAGCTGGATCAGATTTATAGAAATAGCTGCACTTTTCACTTTCACACAATTCTCAAATATAATCATATGATTAGCGCGGAACAAAAAAGAAGTTTGTCTAAGTTTTCAAGTTTAGTCAAGAAAACGTCATGTCTAAACGAGCGACGAAAAGAAGACTTGTGTTTGGAAAGACGACTAACATTTAGGTAATTAGAAGCTAAGAAAGCTGTAAATAAATATGGCCGAAAAAACCTGTAAAAGTTTGAATGATAAATGAATTGTTGGGTGATGATTATACAGCATTATATATGATGTGCTATGTATATTATATTATTATATTTATACAAGGAGAAGACGGTCGTTCAACACACTTTTAAATCTTTGAAGAAATATACTTTACACCATTATATACGGGAGACGTTATTTGGTACATACTCTAAAACGGTTTTACTACCTTTGGAAAATTTCAACGCTGTTGTGCTTTTTACGTTGAAGACTTGAAGTGGTCTTCTTCTGTTCACGTCTAAAACTTTCTTAGTGTGGTCAATTGAGTGAAAACAAAATCACTCTCTTAGTAATCGAAAGTGTGCCACAAGTTGACCCTTCATAGATAGAAAATAAAGCAATTCGACTTTATCCACACCCAAAATGCCGCTGACATGATTGGATATTTTTTATGCTTTCTCGTCGACTTTGCTTGAATCCTGGGAAATCTTTATATTTTGATCAGAAACAACTTCTCGATTCCATACAAGGAGCCTGCAATTCTATGATGCACCCATGCAAATCGGCTGCCCTTACCACAAATACAACCTCTTAATATTCGCCTTTATAGGAACTAAGCTAGCGTTTGGTCATGAATTCCCAAATTTATTCTGAAAAATTTTATTTGGGTGAAGTTTTATTTGAAGATGAAAATATTTTTGAAGATCTATTTTGGGTGAAGTTTGGTTTGGAAAAACATGAAACATGACTTATACCCACAAGTTCTCAAAACTATCACAAATATCCAACAGTACCATTATCAATAACATTCATTATATTATCGCAAACCATAGTCCTGAACATAAATAAATTTGATACAAAATTATCATTTTATAATGAACTACATGATACACCATCAGATGACCAAGAAGACGAAGCAACATCGTTACAAAATAATAAATGGTGGGCTTTTTTATAAAATACAAAAATTTAGGAAAATTTTTAAAAAATATAATAGTGATATTTTGGCCCAAAACCAGCTATTGAGATTTGGCCAAATCTAGCCAAAATCTATGGCCAAACATGTGTTTGCCAAATAAAACCCAAGTTTATTTTGGCAAAATCTATGGCCAAACGGGTCCTAAGTTTGTTATACAATTCCGACACCAATACTTCACTCTCTTCTGAATCAACTTTAACATCTACATAATATTCCATCATCCTGAATCACAGAATTAAGAGACAGCTGAAACTAACATAACTAGCTATATTAC